CGACGGAGGAGGTTTCTGCGGGTACGGACATGGTGGCGGGGATGATTGTCCTTGCTTTGTGTGGTGTTTTGTGGTGTTTTGGCGGTTGCGTCTGGGATGCGTCTCTGGGACGGGCTCTGGGATGCGTCTCTGGGACGGGCTCTGGGATGGTGTCGGTGACAAGATATAACTTGGTGCTTGCCTAACCAGGGTTGGAAAGCAAACGAGGCCTTTTCTTTGATTTGGAATAGAAATTTGGAGTAGAAAAAAAGAAGTCTGTTCGGAAGGCGGCGGAACGTTGTCAGAAGAGTATGATAGGATAGGCAGGGCAGCGCGGGCGAACTTGTTCTGTTTGTCCCGTTTGTCCTTCACGTCATCCACGCGTGGCTCAGCTCGTCCGGCTCGGCGAAGGGGTCGTGTGGTCCCCCCGCGTTGACTGCCGGGGGTGGAGTGATGGCGACAGTGGCGAATCAGGCTCGAGTGATGATGCTACCGAACGGCGCTGCTGGCGGGCTGTGCTGCGTAAGGGTAAGCTCCCTTATCTGTGCTTGATTTGAGGAGGCAGCGAAGCACGCGCGGGCCTGACCGACGGGTGAGAAGGTGAGAAGGCGTTCAGAGGAAGCTGAGGAGGAGTGGGAGAGATGAATCGTAGGCAGCGCAGGCAGCCTCGGCCACTTTTGAGCAACAAGCGTGTGCCTGGCGGGAAGAGTGTGAGGGGGGACGAAGGGAAACCCGGGCAAACGAGAACAGGCGAGGGCGCAAGCGTCCTGCTGACGACGTCTTGGTAGACGCAACCCCTCTGTCTCTCAGCTTTGGAGTAAGGTAGTGAGTGGTAAGGCCAGGAGTGAGTGAGACGGCCAGACGGGGCTGGGCGCGATGCGTTATTCGTTATTCGTTATTCGTTATTCGTTCTCGACGGCCCAGCGAGGATGTACGCTTTTTCGCTAGCGCCGCGAGTTCAGCGGTAACGTCATGAAGATGGGAATCGCGTGTTGGCCGAGGTGGTGTTTGGGGGGAGGGGAGGCGCATCACTCTTATCGATGACCGTCTTGGGCCAGGTACCTTCGCTTCGGTCGTAATCTATAGAGTACGAGACAGCACATGGCCGCACTGCACACAGCACACAGCACACAGCTCGCTTGATGCGTGCATGAAGATGTTTGGTCACGGCCTATAGCGGCAGACCAAGGCTGTCCTGCGAGACCAGTCCTCAGCCAGTCCTCAACCAGATTTCATCGTCTGCTCGAGACGAAGACCACGATCCATCGTCGCTCGAGATGAGTACCCTAGAAGAGAACGGATAGGCCGGAGCAAAGGTTGCGTTGCACGGCACGTACACGGCCCCACCGGTTCCCCGCCAAGCCGAGCATCTCGGCAGTGTGCTCCACTAGTACGTACCCAAGGTACATATACATGGTACATGTACATGGTACATAGCACGTACTTGGCGACCAGGCCTGCCAGGCCCAGGCCTAGCTCTTTGCCTGACTCTGCACCACCAGGAAGCAGAAAGCAGAAAGCAGAAAGCACCAGCATCTGCACAGGATCCATCCACCACTGGCCATTGAGCTCGACAACATCCATCGTCGCCTGCAGCCGTCTCAGTGCATCCATCATCATGCCACGTGCCATCCGAGGTACGATGCCCACGATCCCCTGCCGAGCGAGCGAGCCATCCAGCCAGCCAGCAGACAGTCCGCTAACAGCACAGGCGTCCTCGTCGAGTGCGACCCCTCCATCAAATCAATCATTGTCAACATTGACTCGTCCAACCACGACTTCATCATTGAGGACCTCGACGACCAGCGCGTCGTCGTCAAGGAGAACATGGTCGGCGAACTGAAGAGGCGCCTCGACGACGTGCGTCAATCCGCTCCCTCCCTGCCGTGCCCGTACTCGCCCTTGCTGACATGAACCCGCCAGCGCCTCAAGGAGACGCAGCAGATTGTCGAGGACTCGGGCTCTGAGTGAGGCAGTCCTAACTACCGGGTCGCAACTACCTGGTTCCGACGGTTCCGACCACCTGAACCTATAAACAAGCCGAAAAGCCCAACCACGTACAAACTACACGAGCTGTGGACGAGCATGATACCTACGACAGACGACGGATGGTAAAAGGAGCATTGTATGACACATGGATCTATAGCACCGACAAGTCACGTCATGATGGGCATCACAAGGGCATTCTATTACATACACCGCGTCGCCTAGAGCTTCTCGAACCGCGGCTGCTTCTTCGTCAGCCCCGACTGCAGCGCCGCCGTAAAGTCGCCAGACTGCAGCGCCGCCGCGTTCCAGACCCCCGTGTACCGCAGGCCTGACCCAACGTTAGCACAGAGTTCAGATAGCAAAAGCCAAGTCATCGCAGCAGGATGATGCACAAATAGAGAGGGCGAGGAAGAAAAAAAAAAGAGACGCCACTCACTGTTCGCAATCGTGTTGTCCTTGGCATGGTTCAGCAGCTCCTTGGTCCCCTGCACGGCGACGGGGCTCTTGGTCGCGAGGCGCGCCGCCATCTCAAGGCCGGCCTCGACGGCGGCCGCCTTGGTCTCGAGCACGCGGCTCACAAAGCCGACGGCCAGCGCCTCGTCGGCCGAAAAGTCCCGCGCCGACAGGCACACGTCCTTGACCCACGACATGCTGCCGACGATGCGCGGCAGCCGTGCGAGGCTGCCAATGTCGGCGGCGAGGCCAATGTCGACCTCCTTGACGGCGAACCGCGTGCCGCGCGCCGCCAGACGCACGTCGGCGCAGCAGGCAATGTCAATGGCGAGGCCGAGAGCGATGCCGTGCAGGACGCAAATAACAGCTAACAAGGACACAATCAAGTCAGCAGCGTTCGGCAGTTGAGTACAGGCGGGGGAAGACCACGACGCACGCTTCTCGCACTTCTCCATGGCCGTGATGCACGCCTGGAACTCGGCAATGTGGCGGCGCAGGACGGCGGCGTTGCGCGCGGCGTCGACGCCCTTGGTGGCGCTGACCGTGAGGCCCTCGCCGGCCGACTGCACGTCGAGGCCGGCCGTGAAGGCGCGGTCGCCGGCACCCGAGAGGACGACGGCGCGGACCTCGGGGTCGTGGCTCAGGCGGTCGAAGAGCCGGCCGAACTCGAGCCAGACCTCCTCCGAGAAGGCGTTGAGCTTCTTGGGCCGGTTGATCTCGACGTGCGCGACGAACGGCGCCGGCGACGACACGAGAAAGTGCGTCAACTTGTAGTCTTGGAGCGCCATGCTGCTGGGCTGTGCTTCTGTTGCGGCGGCGGCGGCGGCGGCAGGGGTATCGAGCTGACTGAATGACACGGGGGACTGTTTCCCTAACAAGATGGACAGATGGACAAATGGACAGATGGACAAATGGACAGATGGACAGATGGAGGAGAGTTGGGGGGGAGAAGCAGCGAGTGAGATTTGCTGGCTGATCACCGCGGTGCGATGACGAGAGGTCGGCGAAGGGTCCCTGACGGCTACCGGAGCGTGGTAAGTTGTAGCCAGTTTGAGCCGAGGCATGTGGGGGGTACCATGTACTACCATGTAATCAGTACCGCCCCAGGTTTTCCCCACATGTCTGTCCAGATCGGCATAAGCACGTAGACTCATGGACACGAAATAATGTATATGCTCACCTTTCCTCTTCAGTCCCTCTCGCGACATGCGCTGGCCAGTGGGAAATGCCATGTCGGCATGTTACGCAAAGACGACGCATCGATTCCTGCCGTCACCCATTGCGCCGTGCCTCAAACCATGTCAGAAGAAAAAGATTCGCAATTCATCAGAAGTCAGGGACATGCAACCAAGACTGGCGCAACAAATAGAGGACAATCCTTTGCCGTGTGCCGGTCTCGATCCCACAGTCCCGCTGTGCGCCTTCTACCCTGCGCCCTTGCATCCAGAGGCTTGCCATCTTGGGTTCTGTTCATGGCTCCTGTTATCAGCCTCGCGTCTCGATGGCTTGCAACCTGAGGGGTGCCTGGCGTCTGGTGCCGCTGCTGTCTGTACTCTGAACACTGGAGGAAACATCACTCGGGGCACGCGTCTGACAGGTGGAAGCTGCGTAGGACCCCCCGGACTGCACCTGCTCCAGTCCTGCTTTGTTCGCTCTCCTTCTCGACCTACCTACCTACCTTACCTTGTTAACTTTGTAGGTCCCAAGGTAGTGTACACCTACCTAGGCAGGTAGGTAGCCATGAACTCTTACCTCGGGTTCTGCCTCGCTTCTCAACAAAAGTCTGGCTTGCTTCTGTATCTGCTTCTGTATAATTCCCCCCTTCTTACCTCTCCTCCCACCTCGCCCTCTCCATCCCTTCACACCAACATAGTAACAGTATCTTTATTCGAATCGAACAAGCCCGAGTCCTCTCCCATGGGTCGCTTCTGCTAGCTCCCATGTCTCAGGCCTCGAGGCACCGATCTCTGACGCCTTCCATCGAGATCCAGCACCTGACAGACCCCCTCCTCTCTGTCCATCGACGGTTCAAATCCCGCAGCTACAGTTCTGCCGAGGAGCCCACCATCACTGCCAACAAGTCAAGATCCAGCTCTTCAACGCCTTCTGTCAAGACGATTGTTTCTGACAATACGCCTCTCCTGAACGCAGCCGTTCCAGACGCGCCCTCCGTTCCCACCGCTGAAACACCTCCAAACCCGGTCGGCACCAAACGTCAAATGTTTGCGCACTATTTCAATCTCCACAGAGCTGGCTCTGGTCAGCCAGACGTATCTGGAACAGAAACAGTGGCAGGCGACTTTGACAACACACCCACCGCGAGTACCCGCCCATCATTTGAGGAGACAGTTGTTCTGGCCCCAGGAAAAGGCATGGCCTCGACCCTATCCTCCGCTTCAAAATCCGCCGCTGGCCATCGACATGCTCTGCTCAAGACCCAGCCCGGCCGGACCATGGAGGTAGACCGACATCTCCCTGTTCCTCCTGTTCTGAGTCGAGAACCCTCTACCGATACGGTTCCGTTCTTGCGTGCGCATTCGCCTGAAACGTCCGAAGCGACACCCTTGGTAGCAGACGATGGAGTACGCTCGCTCCGAGCTACAGAATCACCGTCGCCTGACCGGATCCCTACAGGGCCTCCCAGAAACCCATACGACCTACAGGAGCGGATAGGCATCGACCCAGCACTCCACACTACAGAATCCCACAGCAAGGTGCATCATCCCGGGCTTCTGAAGGGTGCAGACTTTTGCGACGCCGGCACATCGGGACAGCTCGCTCAACAGACATCGCTCCCGCCCACAGGCTCGGGAATAGTGTCGTCTACATCTTCAGAACCTGAGATCTTGTTGGTTCAGGTACAGCGCACCCTGACCGGGGATGACTTTTGCCCTACAACCATACCCATAGAAATCCCAAAGCACGCTGAGCACAGCCGTGCCACAAAGGTACGGCCAGCTGCTGACCTCAAGCCCTTCTATCATCACGAGAATCTCAACCAGGGGCAGCAAAGCCACCCGGCTGTGTCAAAAGTTGCTCCCTTTGATGCCTCGAAAGAGGAAGAGCACGTTTCTGACGCCCAGACCTTTGTGGAGACTTCTAGCGGTGAAGACGTCCCAAACGTGCAAACTGCTCTTGTTCCGGAAATCGTCTCACGAACCGTGTCTGTTGCCCCGCCAGACGGACGCGCCGAAGCCACAGCATATCACCAACTCGAAGACTCTGGAGTAAGCGTACCCTGCCCAGATCACCAACACGTGTCCAAGGTACAGCCATTCCAAGAGGATGCAGATGTCTCAAGTCAGGATTTTCTTCGCTGTCGGGTCAGACGATTCGCTACACGAAGGT